CTGGGCTGTGGGTGAAGCCACCACCCTTTCTGCCCGGCCGCGTGCCGCCACGGCGGGCCCCCTCTCCGTTATTCGGCCCTCTGCCGGCCTAACCCAAAGCCAGTGCCAGCCCCCCTCCAGGCCGGGGCCGGTCCCCCCTGCGGCCCTGTGAAGCCTGCACAGAACCGGTGTGGCCGGGGCAGCCGACCCTCCCTGGTTCCAGCGGGAGGGCCTGGGCGGTGGGAAGGTGGCGCCTCAGAAGACGGGGCGCAGCCACACCCACCCCGACCCTCTGTCAGACCGGCCGTGCGCCCCTGGTGGGCCTGTGCTGGACACGCCGGCGCGGAACCCGCTCCCCGCCTACGCCCAGTAACGCCCAAGCGGCCTGCACACCTGCCCAGGGGGGCGCGCTGCAAACCTGGCCGCTCTCAGGCCCCTCTGGGGACAGGTCAAGGGACAGGAATCCCCTGTGGGCCACCTTCTGCTCCTCCTCCGACGTGGCTTAGATACTTCCTCGTTCGAGGTCTGTCTTCAACCTGCAGACTCCCTTCCGCTTGAAGAGACAGGGTGGGGGTTATGTCCAGCCAGACAGGGGCCACCGCAGCCCCTCCTGTGGGTCGCCTGATTCCCTGGCTCCTTATTCACTGCGGCTAAGCTACGTCCCGGACAGCAATCCCGGGGCGAGAGAAACACAGCCCGCCAGTGCCCTGCTGTCGCTTTTTACCTGGAGCCTCCCGGGGATGGCTCTGGGAATTTAAGCTGAGACCCTGTCACCTGGGGACACAGGACAGAAGCACGCCGTGTGACATGGGAGTGCAGCCTCAGGGGTACCGCAGGGCGGTGGTCTGTCTGCACGCCTTCGTGCCACGGACCAGACGCACACGGGGATGGTTCTGGAAGGTGGGGCGGGGCAGGGCAGTGGGGGGGCTTACAGGGCTCCTGCCTGCTTTTGGTCTCTTCTCAGGAAGTGGGAAGGTTTTTTAAGTGGAAACAATGATTTCCTAAAAAACTTCCCTGATGGTAGAATTCCCCTCAAAAGCAAACAGCTTTCTCTCAGGAACACATGCACCCCCCTCCCGACCCCCGGACGAGGGGCGGCGGCCCCCAGAAGGTGCCTTTGCCTTGAGGGGCGGCAGGAGCCCAGGGTGCCCGGGAAGCCCCCCCACCGCCGCCCCTGGTCCCATTACCAGCTCTTCCCGGAACACCTCCGCGGTTGGCGCAGGGGAGGGTGGGGCAGGGGATTCGGTGCTAAGGGCTCCGGGGGGGGGGGCTGTCCTGGTGCTTCCCACAGACGAGATGTGGCGGTGCTCAGAAACTTCTAGACTGAGGAAGGTAAGCCGACAAACTACCCCGCCCCTACCCACACCCTCCTCACCCCCCCTTTTTTTCTGAAAACCAAACACAACACAGTCCCTCTAAGCACCCCCTTCCCCCTCCCCCCTCCCCCCCTCCCCCGCCCCGGAGAGGCCCAGAGCTGCGGCTGCCGCTTCCTTCCGGTGCCCCCACACCCTGCCCTGGCCCTGGCCCTGACATGCTGCCGCTAAGGGGACCCTGCCCTGGAGCTGGGGCTCCAGACAAACAAGCCCCAGCCTCAGAGGTCGGTCCCATATGTTCCAGATCAGCAAACCCCGGCTCCTGGCCTAGCGGCTGAGGTTTGGCTGGAAGGTGCTGGAAGCCCAGGCTCTGTCCTGTCAAAGGCCACACCCCCCAGCGCTGTCTTCTCAGTGTCCCCACCGCTGGCTGAGTGGGAAGGCCACCTGCCGTCCTGCGGGACTCACACAAAGGTGGCCCCAGCCCCCAGCCCCCCACCCAGGGTGTGCGGCTTTGCTGGCATCCAGCCCACATGTCTTTGTTTTCGGGGCCAAGTTCCCCAACTTGTCCTGCAGGAAGTGGTTTGCAGAGATCACTCCAGGCCGGGTGCCATCGAGGGGTTCCGTATACTCCCGCCCTCGTGGTAGTTCTTTTATGTTTTAACCAATTGTGATACAGTTCACACGTAAGTAACTTAAGGTACACAATTCAACGGTTTTTAGTAAGATCACAGAAGAGTGCAATCATCACCACTAATTCCAGAACGTTCTCATCACCTCAAAAGACTGCCCATCAGCAGTCACTCCCCATCTGTCTATCATGGGTGGAATCGTGTCCCCCCCAAACGGATGTTCAAGCCCTAACCACTGGCACCTGTGAGTGAGCCCTTGTTGGGAAACTGGAATCTTTGCAGATGTCAAGATGAAGTCATACCGGAGAGGGTGGCCCTAAATCCAAGGACACACATCTTTATGAGAACCGGGAAATCCGGACAAACACTCGGAGACGTCGGCCATGTGACCGTGGATGCGTCGCAAGCCGAGGGATGCCCAGGATGGCCTGTGACCCCCAGGAGCTGGGAGAGGCAGGAAGGGCCCTCCCTGGAGCTTTGAGGGGCAGATCGCAGGGCAAGTAGGGGGCGGGCTGGGGATCTGAGCCCAGGACT